CATTAACAATAATTATTCAAGTTAGCACAGTTAATTGACTGGATGAGTTGTGTACACATTTCCTTGTTGTGCAGTCACCATACTGTTCTACAGCCGATAATGTTTGTTTCTTTAGATTGATTCATCGTGATAAGGCATGATAAAGACATGCCACATGTCATGAAGTGACTGATTTAGCTCTTAGGGATCTGAAACAAGGTTCCTATGGCCTCTCTCCCACACAAAATTTGTCACTGATAAATGGTTGCAGTATCTCAAAGGTCAAGGTCAATCGTGCCTTGATTCTAAAGCTTGTTATAGAACATCAGATGTGCATGTTTAGGCATATTGGTTTAGAAATGTGGATTTAAAAAAAATATTGTGTATGTTCGTTGAAATTAACGCCCGCCCTGGCGAAATAAACAAAGAATGGGTGTTGGATGGCTGAGAGCTTCAACTGGTGCATCATGGGAGCAGCTAGTGCAGAAACCATGTGACTTCTGATAGATTAATTAAATTAGTTTGTTTGTTCGTGAAAGCTGCAATACACCAGCAGTATGGTGTAAATAATGAAACGTGAACATTCAGCGGTTGACGTCATGAGCATCAAGCTTGGAAAGACTTGGACATGATATACTTCAGCCAAGTGAGACTGTCCCATTGATCCCACAAAGTCCCCATGGTGAATTGCCTCACTCACTCAACATGTATGAGCAAAATTGTCCTGGAAATTGTTTGTTGTGAAATGAAACAAAGTTCACAGATTCTTTATGTGGTAGAACAGGACATTATTTTTGAAAAGCCTCTTTATATTAAGGCGTCAATATATTTCCCCTTAAAAACAAACGCTTGGTGACACAGAAAACCTTTTGAGCATCAAGTTTCTGTTTAAATGATTAAAAATGACAAGGTCTCGTGATAAATGAAGGCAGCTCATTGAGATGTATAAACAAATGTACTCATTATTTCCTTTTCCTTTGGCTGTGTGTCAAGGAAATCTTTCATGACTTAATTTCCTGCTTTTAAAATGGATTAAGCATTGACTTTCTGATAAAATCTGGTAGGGGTGCAGAATATTTGTGCCTGTCATCTTGCACGTAATTCCCTCACTGTCTGTAAAGATGGACTAAACTTTCTGTCCATTATCTATGCAATCATCATCATTGCTGTTGTGGTCGTCGTCATCATCATCATCATCATCATCATCATGGGCCACCGCCGATAGACTAATGGTAAAAGTGTCCGCTCCTCATGCTGAATAAGACCAGGGTTCGATTCCCCACATGGGTACAATGTGTGAAGCCCATTTCTGGTGTTCCCTGCCGTGAGGTTGCTGGAATATTGCTAAAAGGGACGTAAAACCAAACTCAGTCAGTCATCATCAGCAGCAACATTGTCATCATTTTCATCAGCAGCAGCAGCAGCAACATTGTCATCATCTTCAGCCAATTCATCATCATCATCAGCAGCTGCAGCATCAACCCGTGAAGAATTGATCTGGGTTAGAATTGATCTTCAGTTACCCATGCTTGTCGTAAGAGGCGACTAATTGGATCATGTCATCGTATCCCAATTGCGTTAATGGATGCTCATGCTGTTGATCACTGGATTGTTTGGTCCAGACTCGATTATTTACAGACCACCGCCATATAGCTGGAATATTGCTTGAATATTGCTGAGTGCGGCGTAAAACTTCAATCGCTCGCTCACTCACTCACTCACTCACTCACTCACTCACTCACTCACTCACTCACTCACTCACTCACTCACTCACTCACTCACTCACTCACTCACTCACTCACTCACTCACTCACTCACTCACTCACTCACGCACTCACTCACTCACTCAGCATCATCAATCAAGTATTGTCATTGATCATTACAATGTTGATAGTCTTGTTAGTATTACTGCCAGTGTCATTGAAGTTGAGAAATAAAACAATGTCATCAGCATTGTTATCATCATGCTCATCGGTATGCTCCAACTTTCATTACTCTCAAGTCTACAACAACGTTCTGCTGTACCCTGTGACTCCTATCACGCTCAACCCAGTAAATACTTTTAGTTTGATTCAAGAGCTAAGTAAATGTTGCTGTGCCCACTCAAAAGGTCGTTGGTGGTCAACTGAGTGTTTTGCGGGAAGTGAGACAAATTTCTTGTCAGCTTGTTAAGTTAATGGCAAGAGAAAATTTGTTTGAGCACACTCAGAGGGTATTGGGCTTATGTGGATAGAATTCATTTTAGGGGCGATTATGAAATAGATGTTACATTCCTAAATGTATGTGTTTGTGGTGGTAATAACAGGGTCTGGTATGATTGATTACTTTCTGATAGGTATGTTGTGAAGCTTGGAGTGACAGCTCCTTGATGTATCTCTTCATCAGTCAGTATTGACAGTGAGCTGGACGTTTATTAACACTGAATGTTGATGCATTAAGTCATTTGGGTTGTGAGTAGTCTTGTGGATAATATTGTCAGATATTCTTTTGGGTGTCTGGAGACTGGGATGTACTTTGCCGTTATTGCTGTGGTATGTTGTACACAATATTCAGCTGGTATTTGTTACATATGGTACACGGTTGTCTTATTTTTGTCTTCTTTGTATGCAAAATGGAGGATTTTGTATTCAGCTTTTTTTATATTTATTGTATTATTAGATTCAGTCTGTGACTGTTTTTGTTGGTATTTTATGGATTTTGTTGCAGAGGATATTTTTTGGCATAAATCGTTTGAGTCATATGTAGATAGTCTTTAGGAACATATTGTGAGATAACATTCTGTTGGATGTCTGAATGCTGTGTTCTGTAACAGCTGTGACAAGATGTACATGTTCTGCCAGCCGATCTGACTTATGTGAAAAAATATAACTAGTTTAATTGTTATTTTGTTTGTTTCAACATGTGGAAATGTCATTTCATCATGTCAGATTCTTATTTCAATATGCATTTCATCATATCCCACTCATGTAGTGGACCACAATTTGTGTAGAGTTGCCTCCCTTAGGCGTGCCAGAATCAGATGATTGTAGGCTTGAATCCCATATTTGCCCTGATAACAGGATTTGACCAGGGTGTGATAGTCTATTACATTAGGATGACATATAGTCATGTAACTGGAATACTGACCTCCCCTGTCACCTTAGCGCTAAGACTACTGCAAAACTTGAACGCTTATGTTAACAGTCGTTAATAGCGAGTACTTTCACAACATCACCTAACTCTGTTGCTCACCTTAAACATGTCAGCTGTTCCCTGGTCTACTTGTTCAAAGTCAACTTAGCGCGCTAAGACTACTGCAAAACTTGAACACACAGAGTCTTATAGTCTGGATCACAGTCCCTGAACCACATTATTGCCCCAACTGTCTAGCCCTCCCTGCAATGCTAAGCTCTAAATGAAGCAAGTCTAGATTTCCCCAGGTGTATCAACCATCTCACTGGGGCTCCTTTTCAATTTAAATGGTTTGTTTCTTACTATCAAAATTATGTATATTCAGAGACTAATTGCAGTCTAAGAGTCTTACTGCGTGCTAAGATCACTTTGGGTGAGTTGAGTGTGGCACATTACTGCGGAGTGAGTCAGTGTGAAACTGACACCTGTGTTGATGATATCTCGCTATGGTCACCCACATGGTGAATCAGCTGGTGTTTGGGAGACAAAGACAATCATCCAAACTAGAACATCATAAGGTGTGGACTTACCACCCTTGTTCTTGCTTGCAGTACAGTCTATCTTAGCCTTGCTCCAAGGCTGTACTGAATGCTGAGCCAATGGATGTATGGTAATCCTATCCTTTAAAGAGGCAGGTCTGGATCAGGGGATGGTACAAAGGATGCCAGTCTGTAATAGGAATGTTTATATTTTTTTAGAAATTATCATTTGAATTATTAATTATTATCTCAGAGACTTTGCAAGTCTAAGTGTATTTGTACATGGTTGTGACTGATGTTACGTACCTCCTTAGATAATTATATTTTAAAAAGTGCCAACTTTGTCTGAAATTTCTTGATGCTAAATTCTCAAAGAAAATGATCATTTGGTATAAGTGAATAGATAGATTGAATAAATAGTAATGGTGAAAGTTAAAATAAACAAATTTGAAAACTTTTGTTCCCAATTTAGAATGATATTCTGTTGTCCAGTATACACTTGGTAATTACTAGAAACAGGGATCATGGGTTGTTTCCTTTACTTCAGCCTTGGAGTATAATTGCCCCTTTGGTCGGGCAAAGAGTATGTGGAATTGTCTGGCCCATTCTTGATTGTTTACAGGCTGTTTTCTTATCACTCAAATATGCACATGTAGCAACAAAATAACAGGATGGTTCAGAATGAGGACAATTTTGTGGATATACAAAACCAAGTTATATGGATAGATTCTAGTGTCGTTGTCAAGCAAGGGTTGACTACATTAGAATCTGTCGAAACATCACCTATACAGAATAAAGAAGTTATATATCCATAATCATCATTCTTCATCTCCTCAACTTCTAATATGCCAATCAAAGAAGTCAGAATGGTCTAGTTGTCAATATGAAAACCAGATGATTTTCCTAAAAAATAACCCCAGATATGGCTCAAGGGAAATGTTTGAAAAAACCCCACAAGTGTTCAATCTAGGTAATCAAAGGATATCTCTTAGTTTCACAGACTGCTTGAAATGTTGCTTAAAATGTCTCATTTTGTTCTTGACAACTGAAACTTCAGAAGAAGGACGTCTTCATCTGATTTAAACCTACTGTTAAGTGTGGATTTCTACTCTATTGGCTGTTTTGGGCCCCTGTTTGTCTTTTTCCTGCTGATTTTACGGAATCATTGTCTCACAATTGACTTGTCTTTGCGTGTGTTTGTAATGGGTGCCATTGCAGCAGGATATGCTTACACCTGTATCATCACTATTTGATAGTGTTTCAAGATCACATTATTATGATGTGGTATGATGGGTATTCTAGATGTAGCAGATATTTGTTATGGATATGGAAATGAGATTGTCATCTTTACCTGTGTCTCTTATTTTGCAGTTTGATGCCTTGGATTGGGCTGGCCCCAGAACTGTCCTGGTACCAAGAACAGATCAGGGATTTGGATTTACTCTGAGGCATTTTATTGTATACCCACCGGAACTAACAGATGACAGTTCACAGGTATGTTGAACAGTTCTTGACTCTTTGTTCAGGTTTCAAATCTAGAAGTTCTGTATGTATTTTGATTGATGTGTGTGACAGGGAAGTGTTAAATTGTTTTATATTTGAAAGAAATCTCAATTTTCTCAAATTTTGGATTTAATTTAATATGAGGTAATTATATTAAGTTCATATATGTCATTGTGGTCTTGGAGGACAGATATGCTTGACCTTCAATGACAGACAGGCAGTATATCATTGACCTTGACACTGAATATTTGTGGCAACTATATTTGAACTTGGACCCATTGCAACTTTGACTTCAGTAAGTTCACTTGTATCAGGGTTGATAAGCCATGGACGGAAATGTTTGCCTTTGTCGTATAACACAGGTGGCTTTGTGGTGTCTGCTGACATGGTCTGGTTGAAGAACCAGTTATGAATCCTGTTTGTCAGTCCTTTCTGTACAGTTTAACAGTTGGAAACATCTATGATCTGTCAGAGTTGGTTTCGTCACTCGTAATTATTTTGGGGCACTGGTTGTCCGAATGTCAAGGATGTGTACTTTAGGCGTGTGAGAAACATGGATTTGCACTAGATTTGTCAGCACTGCTCATTTGTGTCACCAAGGATGTAAACTTCAAAGGTGTTGACTTCAAAGGTGTTGACTTCAAAGATCTGCACTCTTTGTGCTTTCCTCCCTTCCTAAGTTAACTCAGTGCATGCTGTTTGACTTCATGCCCTCTGCCTGATGCCAGACTCGAAGCACTCCATCTGACTCTAGTCATACTGCCGTAACTCCATGCACTCCGACCAGACCTCAGGCACTCCACCTGACTCCATGCATTCGACTTGACTTCATCTGACTCCATGCACTCTGACCAGACTTCATGCACTCCATCTGACTCCATGCATTCCACTTGACTTCATCTGACTCCATGCGCTCTGACCAGACTTCATGCACTCCATCTGACTCCATACACTCTGACCAGACTTTATCAACTCCATCTGACTCCATTGACTTTAGTTGCTCTGCCTCGACTGTATGCACTCCGCCCTGACATCATGCGCTCCCCCTGAATCCAGGCTCTCTACCCTCACTCCATGCACTCCACACTGTCTGCATGCACTATGACCTGACTTCATGCTCTCCGATCTGACTGCATGTACTCAACCCCGACTTCTTACAGTTCTATCTCCATGCACTCCACCAGACTTCATGCACTCCGATCTGACTGCATGCACTCAACCCCCACTCCCTGCAGTTCTATCCAACTCTATGCACTCCACCAGACTTCATGCACTCCGATCTGACTACATGTACTCTACCCCGACTCCTTGCAGTTCTATCCAACTCCATGCACTCCACCAGACTTCATGCACTCCGATCTGACTGCATGCACTCTACGCCGACTCCTTGCAGTTCTATCCAATTCCATGCACTCCACCAGACTTCATGGACTCTGATCTGACTGCATGCACTCTACCCCGACTCCTCACAGTTCTACCCAACTGCATGCACTCTACCCCGACTCCTTGCAGTTCTATCCAACTCCATGCACTCCACCAGACTCCATGCACTCCACCAGACTTCATGCACTCTGATCTGACTGCATGCACTCTACCCCGACTCCTCACAGTTCTACCCAACTGCATGCACTCCGCTCTGACTCCATGCCTTTCACCTGACTCAGTGCACCCCGATCCGACTCCTGGCATATGCCCTGGAATAACACTGCAGCAAGATATAAGCATTTCAGCATCACAACACTTGCATCCCCATCACGGATTAGGAAACCGATGGAGTTGTTTGGGTGGTTGTGTAACAGCGCGATGTCCCGTGACTCACACAAAGAGCATGCTAATCAAGAGGTGTGGTGCTACCTGTCATCACGGTGTCATGGGACGGTGGAATTATGTGCTCCAAGAATGACAAAACCTGGATGAAAGCCAAGGAGTTGCAGACAGTTGCCTCGTCAAACTGGTGTGTTGTGATATTTTGGAGTGAGTGAGTGAGCTGGGTATTATGCCGCTTTTAGCAATATTCCAGCAATATCACGGTGGGGGGACACTAGAAATGGGATTCACACAATGTACCTATGTGTGGAATTGAACCCAACCTTCAGCATGACAAGCAAACGCTTTAACCACTAGCCTACTCCACCGCCCTGTGATATTTTGGAAATGTGTCCATATGCTATTTGTGCTCTACCCAATGAGATGCGATGAGGATGTAATTCTTGATTTTGGAATATTTCTTGGTAAACTCACAGTGTTTTATTTTACAGAATTTTCAGAATTGTTCAAAATATCTAATGTAACCTAAAATTTCAGAAAAAAATGCAGCTTAGTTGTTTAAAGAAAACAGTTCATTACTGGCCCTTATTATTGATGTGAGCTGATTGAAAATGTCTACAGCTTTGTAAAAAAGAATAAACTATTCTTTGTCAAAGAGGTTCTGATTGTTTTCAGGGGTGACAGATGTCTTTTGTAGGTCAAGGTCATAATTTATTTCCATTCTGTGGCTTTCTCAAGGTCTATGTATTAGTCTAATGAGACCTCCGTCCCTCAAGATCTGGTTAGAATTGTTTGAGATCTCATCCTCAGGCTCATTAACTTGCTCCCAAACAGATGAAACATGAAATTAAACTTTAGAAAGTATGTTTCATGGTTATGTTTGTTAAATCAAGACATAAACATCTGATACAGTTTCCTGACTTGTAAAACTGGAATGTAAACAACATACTCGCGTGTGGTTCTCAAGAGGAAGTCATGTTGGACGTCTTGATCGTGGTATAACTTGGTGCCTGTTTTGGTTTGCACAATGTCATCATTGTGTCCAGTTATTGCCCACATGAGTTTTGTGGTGGAGTGTACGATTACAATGGATTATTGATCGATTACTGACCTCCGATTATTCATTGATTACTGACCTCCGATTATTCATTGATTACTGACCTCCGATTATTGATCGATTAATGACCTCCGATTATTGATCTGAATATGGAGAGTAAAAACCAACACTAGTTTAATAATTTTCATCCAAGGGTATGATCAAAAACATAATTTAGTTCTTTGATATTATGTCATGACATTTGGACATATTGATATTTGTTTTTTTGCATGTTTTGGTGTATTTTTAGACAAACGCTTAGTCTAATTTTGATAGTTACAAACAAACCCATATAAATTGAAAAGGAGCCCCACGGAGACCAGAGCTGAGGCTATCTAGACTTGCTTCACTTAGAACATTAGCAGTGCAGAGAGGGCTTGTCAGTAGGGAAAATAATATGGTTCAGGGACTGTGAGACAGACTAGAGTTTTTTTGTAAGTCCCCAAGTTCTGAAATAAACGCCACAATTCACTCACTGTCGCCTGAAGTAATTAGGTCACGGAGATCAGGCCCTGGCAAGGAACTTAGGCAATTTCAGACTGTCATTCTTGTGGGGAACCCAAGAATTATGTTAAGTCCAAGACCTCTGAAAGTCAAATTCCTGGAAGTTTGTTCACCACTGAACTTAAGGTCTGTGCATCCGGACTATTTGTTCTCTCCATCAGCAGCTGCAATTCTTGTTAAGTTCATCAAGGTTAAACCAGTGTCTTAAACCAGTGTCTTACTTCAAATGATGAAGACCGGTGCTGTCTCGTGGCCCTTGTTTAATGTGCTTGTTTGTTTGGGTGCTCACATACGTGGGATGGGAACTGAACAAAATGTGAATGTGGGAGGGAGGGCTGGGGGAGACTCTCCAGAATATCTCATTATTTCTATGTATAGGAGGCCTGCCCCTTCAAGCTGGGGGATGTATCTGGAGGTGGTGGTTGTATTGCCAAGGTCATCGTGGGCGTGGGTGAGGGAGGAAGCTATGTTTGGTCTGTGATGGCTATTGCTGGCACTTCTTACCTGTAGGTGTTCATTCTGCTGACTGATGAAAATGTTGAATTATTTTTGTCTGGTTGTTGATTTGTTTGTTTGGTTTTGGAATGTTAGTCAATCTGAGGGATTTCATGGCTTGAAAAAGTTCGTAAAATTTGTCAGTAATGACTGACTGACTGACTGAGTTTGGTTTTACGCCGCTTTTAGCAATATTCCAGCAACATCACGGCGGGTCAGTAATGATGATATGGTGACAGTGATGATGATGATGATGATGATGATAAGTTGTGACTATTGAAGGGGAAACAACTATTTTAGATAACAATAGTGTATTGCAACATACTATTGCGACCAACTTATAATTTCAATACTATTGCTTTTACGACTAGTATGGGTAGCTGATGACCATTTCTAACCCCCAGCTTCATGGATGATGATGATGATGATGATGATGATGATGATGATGATGATGATGATGATGATGATGATGAATTAAACATGAGCCCTGAGAAACTCTCTAAATGATGAAAAGGTCAATTAAAAACGCAAGAAGGGAAAGATAATGATTCATCCCACATCCAAGGGTTCTTTGCTCATTTGGATAATTAAGTCATAATGTTAAACACTCCCAGCTTTCACTACTATCATTAAGCTACTGATAAGCAATGTTTGATTTTAATCCAAGATTCTCACAAAAGACAAGTTCAGAATTTCTTTACCATTTGGAAAACATTAAAACTTTCAGTTAAAACTGGATGTTAATTTTAGAAACACTTATCATTTTCCTCATCGTTTGACATGCACTTGCTAACGTTTGATTGTCACTTCTTGAAGAATATTTCATCCAAGTCTTTACCACACTTTCCTGATTAAAGTTGTTTAATTTAGATTAAATGTACTTAGTAGTGATTATTTTTAGGTGTGGGAAAATTAACAAATGTAATTACGTTTCAATCTCTGCTCTCTGTCATTTTGTTTTTGATGCAGAGGGTAGGTGAGCTTGTATGAGGAAGGGCGGTTCAGTGCACAGTTTATAGCTCAGGCGGCTGGAACTTTTAGTCATGGACTCCAATCCCAGATTTCATATACACCAAAACCCATCTTTATGACTTTAGCGGAAGTTGTAAACCCTGATGCCTGCGACTCT